TGTGTGTGTGTGTGAGTGTATGAGTGTAAGAGTGTAAGTGTGTGTGTGTGTGTGTGTGAGTGTAAGAGTGTAAGAGTGTGTGTGTGTGTGTGAGAGAGTGTGTGTGTGTGTGTGAGAGTGTGTGTGTGTGTGTGTGAGTGTGTGTGTGTGTGTGTGAGAGAAAGAGTGTGTGTGTGTGTGTGTGTGTGTGTGATTACATATCTCCTCACAGACTGGTTGAACTGGTTAATGTTAGTTCCTGGATTGCCTCTTTACTGTCATTAGATGATTTACCATAAATGCGGATTATCTTAAACTGCAGAGCTTGATAGGCAGTGAGAGAGACTTCTTAAACCTACGTATTATCTTACCAATTTGGGCAAACTGGGTAACGTTTGTAACAATCAAGTGAATAACAGACAGGATGAAGATGATGAAGTGCTCACAGAAGTTATGAATTAGCTGTGTTAAAGCTGAGATGTGTATTTGTCATATGTTTGTACTCTTATCAAAGCTTAAATGCAGAGACAGCTGTAAGTAAACCATTTGTAGGTCGATTCCCTGAAAAGTGTAAAAGCTTGATTTTTTTGGCAATCAGTTTGAGAATCAGGTCCTCTCCTTGACCTTGACACTTGCCACATTAAAGAAGAGGTGGCAAATTCTGCTCAAATTCATGTTCATGCTATCTCCACATTTGTGTTTTTTGCGCTTGTCTCTTCCTGCATTCTCTCTTAGTCATCGTGCTGTTGCTGGCTCATTGTAATGTGATCTTGAACTGACTGACTGTACCTCCCATCTCCCCTCCTTATTTTCTCAATCCTGGTCAGATTGAAGGATGGTTTCTGTCACAAACAAAGCCTCAAGTCAGTTCACTTGGTGGTCATCTTAGCAGCACATCCGGACAACTGTTGTAATGCAGCTGCTGACTACTTGAAAGGGACAAGAACAAATTATGCAAATAGGTTTGCTAACCTTAAATTTCAGTTGCATATCAAATCAGATAACAGTATTATAAAGGTTGGCGCTTTCGCTCAAAACAAGCTGAAAAATCTACATTTACATTATTCTGAATTTGGCAAAAAGTCCAAAGCGCTGTCACAATTTGGAAAACAACTATATTGCTGCATTTGGTTTTTAACCAAACCAAACTATTTTTGCCATTTCTTTTTCTAAAAAAAGGCTGACAGTAGCTGGAATGACTATTGAATGACCAAATTTCAGCAGATTAATTGTTCTGGCCATTATATCAATATTTCTCTTGGATTTATCCATACTTTGAGAGCCTACTGGAAAGCATATATTATTCAGGAAACTCAATTTGGAGTGATCTATTTCTTTAATTATAAGGTGGGACTTGTTAAGAATCGTGATTTTATTTTTTTTTCTGCCAGTGGCATTTTTAATCTTTTATACACCTCTATGTTTTTGACTTTGTCATAAACCTTTACATTTTTTGAGCATTAGCGGTAATAAATGTTGTAATGTTTCAATCCAGCTGGTATTCACCATTCCGTGAGCTTTGATTGCAAGTCTTCTGATCTTTAATTTATCTGCTGCTTCAGTGTGCAGCTGCAGACGAGAGAAAGAAGGGCTTGAAAGAGATGAGAAATGGATGAATCAGTTTACCTTAAGAACTTTCTTCAGGGTCATGTCGTGTCTTGTGCCAAATAAATCTGCATTTGCATTTGTAGAAATTAGTAGACTTTTTTCTTTTAATTTCATGTGAACTAAACATAATGTGGTTTGAGTATGTGACTCTTTGTCTCTTGTTTTCTCTGTAGAAATATCGGTATCAGGATGAAGAGACTCCGCCCCTGGAGCACAGCCCCGCCCACCTGGCTCACAGCAAGAGCGCTGAGATGCTTCACATGAGTGATAAGAACCTGGCTGCCATGGACACCATGCACAGTTACGCCCCACACACACACATCTCACCAATAAAGGTACGGAAACACACACACACACCCACAGGATTGTGCTGTTAATACTGTACTTATATTATAATACTTCCCCAGAGTAAGATTTTATTGTTGAGGTGTTGCTGTTTTCTAAGCTCAGGAGACATAGCATTCTATTCTATTCTATTCTATTCTATTCTATTCCCTCAGGAGAAATAGATGCAGTCATTCACCGGAAAACAATAAGATTAAACTGCAATATAATAAACAGTTATTTACTATTATTTATATACGGTAATTTATTAATATTTTTAGTTAGCTTTTATTTTTATATTTTCACTTATATTTTAAGCTTTAGTAATTTTGCTATGTGCTTTTGTCATTTTTACAGTTTTGTTTTGCTACAACTTAAGCATATTTTATTTCAGTTAGTTGCTGAAGCAAAATTTCAAATATTTGTTTGTTAGTTTTTTTTAACAGTTAATTGTTTTTATCTAATATTTATATTCCATTTTATTTCAGCTTTATTTCAATTAACAAAACCATTTTTAATAGTTTTAGTTTTTGTAGGCAGAAAAGGCCTACCTATTGTCAATTGTGTAGTGATGTATGAAGCACAACTCACAAAACACTTAACCTCTATTAGTCAACATGTGAATTTGCACGAATTTCCAGATGTGAAATCTGTGGGGGGAAATCTTGTGTCCTCTAGCAAAATTCCTAATAGCGTGCATACCTATTGAAATGACTGGATTTTGTACGTGAAAATTCACACGAAATGTTCATTTCTGAATCATATTGATCGTAAACTTTGGTATCCATGCACTTGAGTACATTTGCAGCATATGCTCTCCATTTGCCCTTGTTTTTGTCTAGTAGAAACAATTGCGATGTTGAAGAGATGTAATTTAAGACGTTCACTTGCCAACATACTCGGATAAACCACTGTATAATATAATACTTATTCACTGAGGTTCCCCTTCAGGAACTCGAGCTGCGTCGAGATTCGCTTTGGGAAGCACGTGTCAAATCAGTCCAATGGAGCAGCGAGACGTCACGAGCAGGGTGACGTAAGCACCAGAAAGCATAAAAGCGCATCCGGCAGAGCGCAAACCAGCTTCTGCTCTTCAGTAGCGCTCTGTGTATGTGTCTGTCTATTTACTGTTGTCTGTCCGCACAAGCACTCATATATATAAAACAATGAGAAAGTCTATGGTGAGCGAACGGCAGTACAAACGCTGTGTTCCTCCCTGCCCAAGATATCTGATGGCAGGGGATACACACGATTTGTGTGTCGTTTGTTTGGGAGCGGAGCATGCACGGTCAGCTCTCGAGGGGGCTGATTGTCATGACTGCGAGCTGCTCTCGCTGTGCACGCTCTGCTCTCGCCTGGCCGTGTTTGATGAGAGCGGCCAGGCTCGCGATCCCGCTGGCAGCGGTCCCGCTGTTGC